AATTTAAATATAGGAATACAAATCCTGGAAAATAATGCTAGAACTAACTCTAGAGTAGAAGAAGAATTCTTTACACAATGTTTAGATCCTTGGAGGTACAGAGAATAATTAAATGGAAAATAATCAATTAGATTATTTCTCAAAACAAGAAACGTCAGGATATTTCGTAGAAGCCCTGATAGATGCTAAAAAACTTGGAAAAGTTGAACACGATTTAAATAAAGAACACAATTTCTCAAAAGAAAAAGTGTTTAAAAGGATTAATAACTTAATCCTAAGAAAAAATGAAATATTCTTTGGTATTATTGCTGGAGAAGAAGCAATTGATACAGACCAAACACAAGGAAATGTAATCATACCTGTAATTTGTAAAAAACAAATTTATAAAAATTTAAAACAGATAAAATCTGAAGTTAGAAATAAAATAGCATATATACATGTATCAACAATACAAATGATATTAAAAAGCACGTTTAGCTTAGGGATAGATACACCTATGCTAATCAGACTAGAAGATAATAGGATGATAAACAAGTCTGATGCACTTGTTGCAGAAGGACAAGGAAACTTGAAATATGGAAAAATCAAGTTTAATCTTAATTATCAAGTAGGAATGTCATTATTAGACAATAATCTTGATGAATCCATCACTCTGTGTTGGAAAATGTTGAGAAATAAGTTAATGAAAAAGGGAAACCACCCTTTCTCAGTAACCTGGAGAATAAATTATGCATTAACCAATAGTCATCATAGTTTGTCATTCAAACCTCATGATAAAATTGAAATTGACGAGTTATTCTCACCCATATTACGTTTGGAAGCTCCTAAAAGAAATTTTCAAATACAAAGAATTGAGTCTATGACTAGACCCAGTATAGACTGTATTATTCCCAAAAAGAATAACGAAGAAGAAGAAACTAGTTCTTCAAGAAATAATACTGCTGAAGTAATCATAAAACCCAACAACAAAATATATAAAATTGAACAAAAAGTTCAAGAAATAAGTAAAGAATTAGGACTTAATAATGAGTTCTAAATAGTATACTAATTAATGTTTGAAAGTTTTTACTCAAAGTCTGTAAAAAGTTAGAACAACAAAAATAAAAAATGAGCACAAGAAAAATTTATTTTGATATAGAATGGGAAATTCAAAATATCAAAATGGAAATAACAAGGTATATTTATTTACATGAAATTACAAATTTAGAATTTTATTATGATATGATGAAGATATGCGAAAAACAATTAAACAGGTTAATAATTTTACAAAAACAAGTAACAGTTGCATAAGAAATAAAAAGGAGTAAAGGGCATTATGGGAATAATTGAAGTCTTACAAGTGGGAAGGAGTAAAGTGGAAGAAAATTAGACATAGGGACTGAAATGAAAGTTAAAAAAGGGTATAGGGATTTTTAAAGAAGTGCCCCTTTTTGAAACCACCCATTAGAATCGTGTTTCCCTAGTCAAACAATGTCAAATTCATCTTCTTCCATTCTGCAAATCCTACTTCAGTAATCTCTCTCTCTCTCTCTCTCTCTGTGGGCGCGCCCGAGCGCCGAGGTCCTTAGGGCTTTACCTCTGTTTAACCTTTCTTCAATTTTGCAGATTATCGGAACCCTTACATAAAGCACTTTTGGATACGCCATACACGTCGCCGGAAGCCGACGCCAATGTGTCCATCAAATCCCACCTTCAGTCCCTCCTCCCGGGCCCCGCCATCTCCGAGGTCGATTTCAGAACCAAAATCAAAGACTTCGTTCTGTGCTGCGCCGCCTTAGCCTCCGCTTCGAACTCCAGCAGCCAACATCTCTCGTGGGTTCCCCACTCGCTCTCGGCTTCTGCACTTTCTGCTCTCAAGATGTTTGCTGAAGCTTATTGTGCGGATATGCAGTTCAAGTGTTCGATGAAAGTTGGCGAGCTGGATTTTGACTTGTGTAGTGTGGTTGAGAGTAATAAGAAGCTGGTGATGGAGTTGCTGCCGGAGGTGTTGCCTTTGCTGAAGGATAAAATCAAAGAGAGCGCCATTGATGCTAGTAATGAGGACGATGGGGTTTCGGCTGCAAGTGCGCGGGTCCCGGTGGCTTGGGCTATTTTGTCCGCCTATCAGCTCAGATGGTTTGTTGTTCAGGTTGCTCTCTCTTGCGTGGTTTGCGTAGAAAACAAACTTTAGAAAAGATTATGTTATGGGTTAGAACCTTGTGTTGTGCTCATTGTAGGTGGATGTTTCTTTTATGGGGAAGATTTGCCCTTTGGTGATTCCATGTGCTCTGACGGCTCTCGATCACTGGTCGCCGGAAGTGAAAGTATGTTGTGAGCTTGCTACAAAACTTTTCATTTTATAATTTGGTTTTATCATTTGTTGCTTTGACAAAATATGTATGGGAAAATGGTGTTCTATATTCATTTCCTCGAATTCAGCCAGATATTCATGTACTCACTTCGCTAATGCATGTCGGTTGATTTCCATAGTTTTTCGTACGATCATATAATACATTGACAGCTGTATGTTTAGATGTGTGTTATTGACTGCTTCTGGTTATGTGTTATGCTTTGCTGATAAATTTGAATTTACTGATGGCATCCTTGTACGCTCTATACAGATGCATTCTCTAATTTATAAAACTAGTGTTAATTTTTTGAGTTTACTGTGATTTAATTGAACATAAAGGGTTGTCAGAATCCTCATCTTTTATACAATTTAATTACAATCTTCTGCTTCAGCCTGAGGTAGATCAGTTATGCTTGCACATCTGGTGGATTTTAGATTCAAATATTCAGCATATATTATTTACAAATTACACAAGCTTCACCACAGACTTCAATCAAGATTTTGATTGCTAGTGCGAATAATTACTACTTTGTGACTGAAACTTTCCAGTTTCTCTCTTTAGGGCCAGGGCATGCTAAGCTTCATATATCTTGCAAAACATGTAGATGCTGCAGATATTGGAGGGTATGCAGATGTTATTCTTGACGCTTGCTGTCAAAATATTGCTTCTGATGATGAGATATGGCACTATGTGGTGGAGATGTCAGTGCTTCTTGTCACATTAACTCAGCAAACTAATCCTCGTAGTACATGGTATTGCTTTTGTACAGTGTTTATGCCCTCAACTACATCAGTCTGAAGGATTTAATTTTTCACAGTTTGTTCCCCAGAAGGCTAGTCAATTGTCTTCATTTGGAACAAGAACACTGAGAATGGGGAAAAGTTGTCTTGTTTGCTCTGATGCTTGAATCAGGAAAAGAGTATGAGCTGATGTGTGGAGTTCTAAGCATTCTAAAGATAAAATTTTGCAATCACCTGTTAATTGCTGAAAATGATATTATTTTTATTATTCGAAACATCTTGGTTTTAGTAAAATGCGGTTATAAGTTAATATGCCTTCTCCCAATGGATTCCGCAAAAATAAGTTTTCAGAAACCCTCCTTATCTGCTTAAAATGTTTTCCTTCTGTCTGTTTCATTAACTTTACTCTCTGAGATATTGGTATTTATATAGGTACGAGAAGTTGCTCAATGAAATGTTAAATCATTTGGAAAGGCAACCGAGAAACAAGAAGAGGCGCATTGCATGGCTGACTTACTGTGAGCCACTGTTCAATTGTCTTGGTCTCGTACTTCTTGCCCATTTCAGGCGTCTTTTCCCTCTTTTCTTTAAATGGATGCATGCTGACGATGATGAGACAGTTTTACTGGTAAGATATTTGTTCAATAAGAATAATGATTTAAGAGTGTCTGTGGCATCTATTATTCCCACGTGAATGCAAGATTTTTATATAATATTTTGAGTATTGATCAGTGTTAAATGTGTGTGTGGGGGTTCTCTCTTCTCTCTCTCTCTCTCTCTCTCTCTCTCTCTCTCTCTCTGCCTCTCTCTCTCTACATGAATGAATCTGATTCGTGAAACGTGTAAGAAAGTGATATTTATGCATGACTAGCTAAATTAACATTTTCATAGGCATTATTAGTTAGTCCATCTGTGCTTGTTTTCACATATGATATTTGATTATGAGTTGCATAAGCACGATGAACTGAGGTTAGGTGCATCTAGGGGCTAGTAATCTATTTAGGTCTATCTAGGACAAGAGTAGTATTGGAAGAAGAAACGTCAGACGGTGAGGGGCTAAACATGTTGGCAACCTCAAACTCTTTAGTTCAACTAGCATTCTGGTTAATCTGCCAATTTCTTAACGTCGTTGAACTTCTAGCTGATATGATTGGTTTAATTCATCATTCTTTACCCCCCTCTCTGAAGTATATTTTTTCATTGCATTATTGTAAATATATGGTTGGTTCTTTGATGATGATGCTTCAGGTTTTGGAACGAATGATAACAGTTCTGAGACTTACATGGATAAGGAACTCTCAGTTCATGGAGAGGTAACTAGTACGATCTTCTTTGATCATCTTTGCATGCCAAACGTATGAATAGCACTGCATCATCAGGATTATTTAGAGAGTAAACTATGTTGGATCCTGCCTAAATACATAGATTATGATTTCTTTGACCAACTCTTGTAGTCATATAACTTTCGCAACGTGCTGTCAAAGGTATTATAATTCTAAAGTAAGACCGTTTCTTGAATGGCATATGAACACTCTAATTAAAGATTGGGCATGGACACACATCTGATGTGGATAGGGACCTGAAAATGCCTTTAAAATAGCATTGCCAGTCGAATAATTAATTGGAAAAGGAACAACTATGTAAGAGGCAGTTGATGGCTTGCCATGCACAAATGAGCATGCTCATGCAATAGAAATATTAATATTATTATTATTATTATTATTATTATTTTTTTTTTTTTTTTTTTTTNTGTTACTCTTCCTAGCTATAGATAGAGAATGAATGGGAAAGTAGAGTAGATGGTAGACGATGTTATTTATAGAGATGCTGTATCTATCATTCATCCATGAATATTACTAGTCTAGCTTAATAAATACTTGACAGCTCTTGGGTGGGATCTTGTGCAAGGTACCTTGCATATCATCGAAGGTCTTTTCAATGATAATGTTTGTTATCGGCTCCCAGGTTGGTGGATGAGCTCGTCACTCTATATAAGGATGCTGCTCTAAAAGTTGCTCGTGAAGATATTAGGTCACTTATTCTTCAAATGCTAAAATTGATTCGCGTGTGAGTACAACTTCTCTTACAAGACCCTTTAATTCATAAAAGTTGTATGTGGATATCTGATTCTTATTCAAAGCAATGAAATTGCTTTATTTATGTTGTATTTTATAGGTCAAAAGGTCAACAGTTGGATGCAGCTTGGTTGAAGTATAAGGATGATCCAACTTATCTGCTACTGCCATCTTCGTAAGAGATCCTCTGCTTGCTTTTGAAAATGCGGATTAGATCAGACGCTTTAGGGTGTTGATCTGGAAATAATACTCTTGTCCAGGCGAAGGTTTTAGTGACCTTGTTTTAGGACTGTACTAAACTAACAGTCTGCTTGGTTACAATTGTGAAATGAGTTTTGATTAGTTCACTCTTGGAGCAGCAGTTTCAGTCGAATAATAATAATAATTAAAAATAGAACTCTACACATTACACATGGCACCAGAAAGAAGCACATTGGTGAACAAGAGACATGACAGTTTGAGCGAATATCTGTATCACAATGTGAACTGGTTTGGCCCGGTTCAGGATTTGATTATGATTTATTGAATATTATGGAGTGTAAGATTAATATCTGATTTTGTTTAATCATATCTATTTCTAAATAGTAAATTCTAAATATGGGTGTAAGCTATTAATCTTCCATAAATAAGAAATTCAAGTTTATTTTCTGACATAATCTCTGAATCCCCCCTTCATTATTAGATATTTTTATTTATTTGGGAGTATCTATGATTCTATGGTGGCCTTCCGGACACTATTTTGCTGATGGATCCTGTTCGAAACACTATTTTGCTGATTGATCATTTTCGAGACAAAATGAGGCAATTCCATCGAAAATCTTGGAGGACCAATACTCCGAAGTACCGAACACATTGAAAAGTATTTAATTATTGTACCAATATGATAAATATCCAAATTAAATCAAAACTGAAAGCAAGTCTTCAAGCAATTTTAGGGGCACTCTCAATAACCACAGGTCCACAACTGTGCACTCTGCAGTGCTGTATCATAATTTCTACAATAGTTCTCTCTTCGAGGTGGCCATTTGTTTAAGTAAATCCAATATAATATATTATTAATCAATATAATAAGTAAGGCCACTTAAAATAGGCCAAAAGCAGCTTGACAATGGTGCAAAATCTTTAAAACACTGTGTGCTCTGATATTTTGCTGACTCTGAAAACAAATGGCAAAGAAAAATAAAGAAAGTGACANACCACTATTCTTAACTGTATGAACAGAAAAAAAAAAAGAAAACATTTTTCTCATTTCTTGATTGATTAACTTTCTTCAATTCCTCATAATTGTTCCTTTTTATTTTTTCCCCCCAATAATTTATTCTCATTATTTTTTCAAGAAACAGAGTATTTTTCCAGCTCTAATTCTCCTCACACCTTTAAGAACTCAAAATTTAAGTACTTCAATGGAGACCCTTTTTCCGAATTCGCTCGTCTCGAGCTCCGGTTGGCTGCCACGTCACGGCTACGGCGCCGCCATGTGGACTAAGGAAGAGAACAAGAAATTCGAGAGCGCCTTAGCTATTTTCGACGAGAATACTCCGAATCGGTGGTTCCACGTGGCAGCCATGATCCCCGGAAAGACGGTGTATGACGTCATGAATCAGTACCGTGAGCTGGAGTCTGATGTCAGCGATATCGAGGCCGGTTTGGTTCCGGTGCCCGGTTACTTAGTCTCCTCTTTCACGCTCGACTCCGGCGAAGAAGATGACCGGAGTTTCTTCATAGACTCTTACCGGAAAAGGGCTCGGGCTCCTGATCACGAACGGAAAAAGGGCGTCCCTTGGACAGAGGACGAACATAGGTAGACGTTATTTTTTTTTTATCATTTTTTCGTTTTCGATTTATTGCGATTACCTTAAATTTCGTACTTAGTTTTATTTATATTGAAAAAGAATGATTGTCTGATTTATTTTCTATTTGTTATTTCAAAATAAATTTTGAATATGATTATTAATGTACATTATATGTTTTAGGCGTTTTCTATTGGGACTGAAGAAGCATGGGAAAGGGGATTGGAGGAACATCTCGAGGAATTTCGTGATGACGAAAACGCCAACACAAGTGGCGAGCCACGCGCAGAAGTACTACCTGAGACAGCTGTCGGGAGGGAAGGACAAAAGGCGGCCGAGCATCCACGACATCACCACCGTCGATCTCAAACCCGACACAACCCAGATGACCAATTTTCAAAATAAAGAGAAATCCAACCAACTCACCAACATATCTTGCGACCCAAAGACAATGTTGGATTGGAATCACAATGGCGCGGGCCGTTACGCGATGAATATCGGTGCTTGTGCTCCAAGATTTGGCTTCTAATTTGAAGGTTGATAAATATATATGGTGTATGTGGGAAAATAGTTGCTATGTGAGTGTGCTTCCATGGTTGAACTCATTAATAACACACATATATGTGTTTTTTCTTGTGTGGAGTGATCTCAAACTAGTTTGTTGTTTAGAAGGATTATGGGTTTATTGTGATTTTATCTCTTTTAATTTGTTTCATTAAGTTTGTTCACTTGAAGTAATTATGTTTTAGTGAGCTACTTGTTTAGATGCAATCTCTCTCATTTCATTTCTCTCTTCTTTTGGTTTTTGGTTGCTTTTGCTTGATTAAAATATTTTTGCAAGTGTTTGTCTATACTGTAAAGGCGGTTCTGCATAATGCTTTTTCCACCGTGTGATCGGTATAGTCCAAATTTGAATGGCGGCTACCCTAATATAATATACTAAAATAATATAATATACTATTATGAGTTGGCTCTATATGGTTTGATTTATTATATATTATTTTAGCAATTTAAGTCTGTAAATTGATCTTGATATTCCATTGTGTAATAAAGTGTAACATTTCTAGGATCAAACATAAGAAAGAAAAGAAATGATAATTATAGTTTATAGTTTTATGCGCAAATTGAAATACCCGGTGGTGGTCGTGTATATCCTTCTAGCAAATAAATTATTATTATTATTATTATTATTATTATTATTATTAGCAGTCAACCTTACATGTTGCGGTATTATCTTTATGCTCTAATTTAATGGAATTAAAACTTTAACTAGGCCAAATTTGCTTTAAGGATGATCACATCACATTTTTGTTTAGTCTGATAGTGAATCCACTACACTGAGACATCTTGTGCTTTAAAATCATAACTTAAAAGACAGATCCACCTAAGTATCATTAATGTGGTGTGTGTAATATTTCAAATAACTTTTTCTTGATTGGAAATCTTTGTGACTGTACTTGGACATGCCACCTCTTTAACCATTGATTTGTCAATGGTGGCATATTCACATACAGCGTGGTTTCTTTCTAAAGTCTCCATAAGTATCATTGTTTTGAAGATTCTTAATTACCCCATTTTTTTTTTTTCAAACCAAATATTAATGAGCCTTCAAATGGGATCGANAACTCAAATAAAGTATAACCTTTAACCAACTACTTACAAATCATTCTCACTGTCTCTTGACAGAAAGAAACGAACCAAGAGAAGTCACTAACATATGAACTCTCTTTAAAAAAGGGAACAAACCCTATAAAGACTCTCAAACAAAGGAGACAAAACGCTCCACAGAGGAAGACTAAGCTACTCCACTTAGGAAGACTTAAAATAGGGAACAACAAAATGAAAATAAAAAAGAAGCATAAATAGAATAAAATACAATAAGAAACTCTCCCATTTTAATCAGCTTCTAACTTCACCGCCTTCCCAGAAGCCCATAGCTCGACAAACGCCCACAAAAAGGACACCAGCAATGATCTTTATAGTACAAACCAACATACATAGAAGCCCTTGAGCCTAAATGCAAACCCGATCTACAGAACAAACACTCTCAAACCTAAGTGTTACAAACTAAGTGTTGAATACACGGGAAACCTATAAACTGAAGTGTCCAGTTTAAAATATGAACTAAAACTGGAAACAAAGTACAACTTGAAAGTAAAAAGAATAAAGCCGAGGCGAGTAAACTCTTTTCGCAAGACAAATACGCCCCATATAGTGCTAACGGGTCCGTGCGTCTTGTCTCCAAAGATATAGCGGCTAGTGTCTCGGAAGCTGTAGCACACCAAACTTCAATGCTCCGGCGAACACGAACAGAGTTGAGAATTGAGCAATATATATGATATGATGCGTGACTTACAGTAGAGAGTGAGATGCAGATGTATGTCTAGTGTGTGCTTCTGTAGGTTTTGTATTGTTCTATTTATAGCACTTTTAGCCATGTACGGGATGGCCAAAGTATTGGGTTCTATTAGGAACGTCGACCGATGTTCATACTCGAATGTTATAGAATTGAATCCTAGCGCAACGAAATCTATGGCTAGGATTAGAAACTTACACTTTAATCTTTTTGCTGACTCGGTGACAATGACACAACCTACGGGGCTCGACGGACGATTCTAAGTCTCGTCCTTTAGCCCACGTTCCTGCTATGCACGTCCTCACTCGAGTCGTTGGATCGCGCGTCATTTGGCCGGTGGTCGCTAAGTCGCGCGCCTATTGCGTGCGGTCCTCGCTCCTGATCACGTGCATGACAGCTTCTAAGAGGCTAGTGATATGAATGGCGACACGTGTCAAAGAAACTTGCCCTACTTGGGCAAGTGTCTTATCTTTTTGAGTGGTGCGAATCGGTTTTGGACGACAACCCCTTCATATTAGTGATGGACCGAGATCAGCGAGGAGGAGGCCTTACTTTTGAAATATGTCGGCGGGATTACTTCGTAGCTTGGAATGAGGTCGACATGTAAGAGAGAGATATCTTGAGGTCGACGTCATCTGTCTTGGCCGAAATACTTCTTAGAGCATCCACAATATTTTGGGTCCATTAGAAAAAATATATAGGCCACGCAGAAAATAGACTAGTCTAAAAAGATATACTCCAATGCAAATGCAAGTGGAGTGGGTCCTGCTGATGTGGCAGCAAAAAAAAAGAGACCTGGTCTACCCTTAAGTCTATTTTAGACTCCAATAGAGACATAATCTCTTTGCATTGGAGTTAATTTAGTTACTTTTTATATATTTTTGTCAATGTCATCCAAGAGTTAAGTTTGTTTAAATGCCACGTAAGCAAAATTAGACCCAAAGCATTGATATCATCCATGTTATGGCTAATTTGGCTGTTTTAAGGAAGACAAATTTTAGGTATCAACAACTGGCACCAACACAAACGGTTTCGAGCTTCAGTGACTTGCAAATACTTCGGGGAGGGGTCCCGGTGGTAAACCTTCGACGCTCAAGTCAAAATCTCACTCGTGAATGTATATAAAATTGTAAGCTAAAACGTAATACGCGTTATTTTAGAGTAGAACCTGGTAACCCCTTATATACACGGATTATCTCCTTGCCCAAGCAGAGTCAAAGAGATTCAATCGTGTCTACTTTTCTAACTTAGCATGTCTCTAAAATCTTTGATTTCTTGGCAAGATACACTTGTCATGTTACTAGGATTTTATCCCCTCTCTTGATACGATTCTCAGGTCCTCAGAACGACCTCGTGACCCATCAGCCAAAAATGTTCACTAGGTCGAAACCACGACCTTTGATTGAGTCTTGCAATCTCCTCATCTATTCGAGCTCTATGAGGAGCTCAGCCTTCCGAACCCTTATGTTGGGTCAACTCATACCCTGAGTTGTCGAATCGAGCTCCCTGACGTAGTCAAACATCGATATTGATCTAAAGCTCATCTGAATAGGTGTTAACCACTCATGACGGTTCACCGAGCTATTCTAGGTGTTATATTTCTTAACAAGACACTCAAAAAGTCTATAGCGTAATTCTTCTTGGTCTTAAGAAATTAAGAAAAATTGTGACCATGAGTTCTTTTTGGTGTAATGTTGATAGCGTGACACATTGTTTAAATACTTGTTACAGCACGTTGTGCTAAGAGGTTTCAAGATATTATTTGGACAAGACAAAATTTTGGAAGCCTAGACCTCCTGTCCTTTTTTTTTTCTTCGTCCATTATATTTTTTTACCAAAAATCTACGAGTGAAAGTAAATGAAATGGTTTGTTCTAAAAAAAAAAGAAAAAAAAAAGTAAATGAAATGGAATTGTAAATCCATATCATTTCTAACTATTTTTTTGTGAAGGGATTTCTCAAATGTTACTTATTTCCCTGGACTCCAAACTATCAAACACTTCAAAATTCATTCGACAAAAGATTCCAAATTAAACTTTTTTTTAGTTAAAACTAATAATTATGGCGTTTGAACAATCCAAAAGTAATGATTTGGGCTCATCAAATTTATATGCATAAACTAATAGAGCCATAATTTGATTCCGATTGTTGAAGAATCTCGTTGAAAACACGTTGTAATAAAGCAAAAGTAATTTTGACAGAGAGCTTAAAGTTACCTTTGCAACCTAAGGTTAATCAATAATTACAGCATGCATTATACAAGACCCTTTAATTACTCGTTGTCCCAAACTCGAATTTATCTATTACTTGGACAAGATTTTCGATAAAGTGCAACTTGGAAGGGATACTTGGTTTATCCCCTATTCCTACCCAAAACCTAAGACAGAAAAGAAAATTGAAAAAGTAAATACAAATTAAAGAAAAAAGAAGCAAAACGCCAAAAGCAAATTAAACGCATTGTACGTCTAGTGGCTTCTAAACTATAATTTATAAACGTGCTTCAAAAGGGTTAAAGTAAATGGATCAATAAGTTGATGGCAATCCAAAATGAGCATGGCAAAAATATGAATAAAGGATAACAAAAAATGATGTGTAAATTTTAATAGCTTTGATCTCAAAATTAATATGATGTGTAAAGTAATAGGATGTAAGGCATGTTACTATATTAAGCTTTTATATCATTTTTTATGTCACTTATTATGCTACTATATAATCATTAATTAGTTGCTTGCTCTTTTTAATTTTTTCACAAGCTTTTATATATCATTTTTTATGTCACTTATTGTGCTACTATATATTTATAATCATTAATTAGTTGCTTGCTCATTTTAATTTTTTCACACTACAAGAATATGATGAAATTCCAATGAAAAATTCCAATGGAAATATATTCCATTAAAATTACAACGGCAATTCCAATGGATATTCCAATGCTATTATTTTCATTTAAATTTTCAAATGGATTTCAATGGAAATTCCAACAAAAAAATTTCCGCTGGAATGAGTGAAATTTCCATTATTTTTTTACGATTTCAACGGTACATTTTTCAACAGTTGAAATATGGGTAAAATAAAAATTTCAATGAAAATTGTATATTCCAAAGGAAATTCTTATGGTAAAAAACCGTTGGAATAATAGACATTGGAACAATCAAATTTCATCTAAATTCCAATGGAAAACTCATTCCAACAGAATTATTCAGTTTGAATTTTCATTGGAATCATTCAAAAGAAAATTATACCATTTGAATATATTACCGTAGGAATTTCTGTTGGAATATGACATTTTTTTTGTAGTGTGAGTAGGCATGACAGTTAATAGGTCGACCCGTTATATTTTTTTATGACAAAATATATATGCATAATATGAAATGATATATTATTTTAATTTATTTAATTTTAAATGTATTAATAGGTATTGAAAAGGTATAA